TGAGATCCTTGCTTCCTTGCCACATCCAAATTTGAGAAGCGTTTTGTCGGTTATTTGACCACAATTTAAGCTACACAGCTCGGACGTAGGATTTGTGCGACTTCTAGAAGAATTGCTAGTTGCTACTGACAAATTGTGAAGTGGTTATTGACTTTAAAGTTTGAGGTCATGCCTTATGTCTATATAATTACTGCCTTTAAACGTTTGAACACTTTGAAATAAAAATTGTGCGAGGTTGTTTAGCGATTTTAACAGTTTCCCAGCCCTCATGGAATTCAAAATTGTGCATGGCTCATGTGCGGATTGGAACTCTGGTCCTAGGTATCATGTTAAGCTAAAGAACCGTCGTGTGGATTATCATTCGGCTATATTTCAGTTACTCTTCCAAGTTGAAGTAGTTTTTAACCATGATGCACCTGTGTCCTGTAGGCTATAATAGCTGGTATCCCTAAAACCATTATGATATTGGAAGCTACAATAGCACTGATAACTATTTCAGGAGCGAATACGGGTAACCGTAACAAAACAACACCCCAACCAAAACTGCTTTGATACCCCAGCCTAGCATGATACAGTGCCGTCTGATGTGAAGTGCAAATTAGTGCGACTTCTTGCAGGTTTACCAAGTTTCCCGTAGCCATCGACTTTAGTGGAATGTCTACGTATATCGACTTTAACCGCTGGCATATTTTGGAATAACTTGTGTGTTAGGTCGTGTAGTTATTTTAAAACATTTCTGACCTCATTGAGTTTAGAAGTGACGACTGCTCATTCGCTCATTGAAGCTCTCGTCCTAGGTTTCATAATATGGAGCTCAAGACGTAAATAACCATTCATTCGCTAGATATCGATTATTTTTCAACTATGATGTTTAATTTGTAAATTGTAAGTAAGTGAGTATATGCCTTTCAAATATGCACTGCAACTGTTACTGGATGATCGATTATCGGTACATATTTGTAGTTATATTATAATATCGATAACATCGTTTATTTTATTTCTTTACTTATTGTGAGCATTAATATTAAATATTGATTAATATTGCTCAATATTGATTGATTTTGATTGGCTTTTAATCAAATTATACTCTGTGCTTTATTTTTGAACTAATTTAAAATAAAATGACGTTATCAAGCAATTTTTTAAATCTTATTATCAAAATTGATTGGGTAACGACACTGTAATTCTGCTTTCTCCAGCAGATTTACTGACAACCCAATCAACTGATCTCACGTAATGAATAAATTACAGACTTTATCATGTTTATTGTTTATCATGTTTATGTTGGTCCTATACTTTACTTATTTTACAATAAGCCGTACAGATACGGAGGGCTCGTCCCAACTGTCCAATAATCTATATTGGATCTCTAAAAGAGCTCCCTTGCTATTTTATTTCGCCCCAGTTTAACCGATCTTTAGAGTATTAGGATTAGTATATTATGGAACGTAGATTAAGCCTTCAAGTCTCCCTGATCATGATTCTTAGTCTATTTAAATAAAGTACACAAACATAGCGATCAATCCTTCGTCTCAACGCCTGATTCTAAGAGGTGACATTTACCATACAAACGCCCCCCCCCCCCCCCCCCCCATACAAACACTTGCACTGTAATCTAAATAATATTACCGTCATTTATTTATAAATACTAATTTAGCGACTCTTTACTTTAATTTTTACATCAAAATTTAATATTCTAAATAAATCATTCAGTTTCTTTTGAAATTTTCCAACAGATAAGTAGAGTATTATATACACTATACGTATATTATACATTTATAATCGGAGTAAGAAGTTCATACGCCCGCAACGGATGATGTGTAACCGGTATTTTCTCTGACGATATTCTCTGACGATATTAGGATTCATTATTATAATTCATGATTAATAGCATCGATTAATTTCTAAATTTTATGCCAAAAAGTATTTTTATCTTTAATATGTTATTATTACCTAAAGTACATATTAAACTATTAGGTATGTATCCCACATAATACATTTTTTGGACGAGAAGGGATCTTTGTCGTTCTAAACATATTCGTCATTCAGTTTAGATAGATATCGTTACCTTAGTATTGCTGAATGCTGTACAACTACTACAGATATCTTTAACGTTCAGAACAGATATACACATAATATTAATGTTCAGAATAACGTTAATGCAATGTTGGAGCTCAACTAGCTTGTGTTTGAGCCACGAGGTCGTTTAGGTCATTAACGCTTGAGATAAGAACATTAAATGTCTAACTCAATCCTTAATGTTATTTTAAAGTTATTTAACCACTCCTACAAGTTACACGTAATCACGGCACGCCTGCTCGCGTCCGTTAATATATCCTGTCCAATGTGCCATTTTTGTGTTAGTCAGTAGTACTAGTAGCGTATTATTGTGGTTTGCCTTGAAACTTAAGCATACTACTTTGTCTTTCAACCATCATATTTTGCAGGAGCCGGGGTCTTTAATCGAATGGCAAAAATGGCGAGAAAAATTACTAAATCATGTCTTTATTTGTCGCCAATTTTACTAATAATGGCATATAGATTTATATGGCAAATGTAGCGATGACATTCAACGGCCATCCCCGCCAATTTTATTCTTCTTGACTAAAACTGCAATTCTTCGTTTTAGTTATAATTATTAACATTAAGTTAGTTATTAACATTCAGTTATATGACGTGCAGATTGTAATTGAAATTAATCTGTGTTCTAACCGTTGACTGATAGAAGTTAGAACACCTGTCATCAGATGTAATATCCATTAAATCCATCGAGGCGTAGCAATCTCAATGTAGAGATGAGATAATCACAGATAATGACTGGCTCATCAAAGGAACACATTATCCATTATACAGGGAAGGAGCCTAGTAACCTTCAGTACAGTAAGCCTCCACACTCCACAGGTTCCAAGTACTATGTTACAAGTACGACTGGTGCTGCTGCTGCACCGTATTGCATATATTCAAAGGTAATGTTAAGTAGGCTATCAGGGTCCCTGATTGCTGACAAATCGTTTAAATCTAGACGTGTGTCAGATCTCAGACATATAATAAAACGCTTAATTTCACGGAGCACCTGATTCTCACAATCATGTGGCGTCTGGACTAGACGGAGCTGAATTGTAGCCTGGCGCCTGCTAGCTGACTTGTAGCCTGCAGCGCATCCTTAGTATCGCACCTACCTCCTATATTCTTATATTGGGTACGAGGTACCTGCTGTTTCCTAGCTATTTATACACAGCACGTGGGAGTGGAGTGTAGAGATTGATTTCCGTAACGAACACCACCAACCATTTAGGGCTGGATAATCGATATTCGCACAATTTCTTTGAACTTATATTTAAATAGTGTCCCTCGTACTTATACTGTCTGTTACTTACAGCTTATTTCATTCCATGGTATTGGTGAATGAAAGATTTTGGGGGAAATGCGCACGTGAGCACTTGAAGGAGACAAAGCTCCGGTGCTAAAAGCTGGGTATTGACTGCTATCTCTTCCATCATTCTGTCTTAAGTCAGTCTGACTCGTGAATGGATAATTTACCAATTCATTGGCCAGTCAGGAACAAAATTATTCAGATAAAGAGCACGTTGTGTTATTAATGAGAATCTAGATCGAGCTTATTCATTCAAATCTCACTTCTGAGATTTTCATAACAGCACTGTTACTGAGATCTGTGAGATTAATTGCCCAACAAATCTGCCTGATGTTGGAGACGTGGCTAAGGATTGGGTTAAATAGAGAAGATTATTCGTTGCATAAAATTTCTACTGACCAGATAGTCACAATTTTAACCTGCATTAGTTAACAGTACGATACTGAGTACTGACCCAACCGAGAATACCATACCCGATGAGTAAATAACATTAAAGCTGATTCTTTGCTGGTCTGTAATTTCAGTTTTGAAAACAATGGTTGTTGTCTTCATCTGAATAATTGCACCTTAAAATGTCACGTGGTAACTACAGCGAAGTACCATTCAGTCATTACTCGACATGAACCAGGTGACATGTTGGGACGAGCTTTCTAAATGTCTCCAACAGCTGTCGTTGTATTCTTTAGTTCTTTACGTAAAGCGGCCATTTCCGTGACATTTACTATCACTGTAACAGTTACTGTAACAGCTGCAGTTACGATAACATTGTTGCAGTCATAATTCCAGCTATTATAGTTATAATAACTGTTACAATCCCGGTTGTAATCAATTTTGTAAGAACCATTTCTAGACGGTAAAAGCCCCTGTTTCAGTTTCAAGCGGTGTGTTCTGAAGGGTATCAGAAAGTCTGAGGTTTTCAATTTTTTTATTTCGATGAAACTTCAGAGACAATTAGAGAGGTTCTAGTCGGACAGGTCTAGACATTACGCATCTCGTGCCAATGACACAGGATTGTCGTCATCTTTAAAAGTTTAAAAACTGCAGATTCTTGGTTGACTTCATTTCCGTCCCTTCATTTCCATTTTAACGCTCATTTATTGGCTAAGATTTCACACACATTTTCTATTCGCATGCGTATTGCGCTAGCTTTATTCGATGAACTGTTTCTTAAAATTTCTTTACAATTTCAACCAAATCTATATAGCTATATGGTCTGTTTCCTAGTGGCTGATGTTCACGACTCAAAGTGTATCTTACTATGCCACAGCTGTACAATATAATAGTGGGCAAAATAGTTCCGACACCAGACCGCTATTTGTGTTCTTGATTTGTCGCTGCTGCGATCTGGTCACAGCTGTAACGTGTCACAGCTGTCACGTGTCACATCTGTCACGTGTCACAGCTATCATGTGTCACAGCTATCACGTGTCACAGCTGTCACGTGTCACAGCGGTCACATGTCACAGCTGTCATGTGTCACAGCTGTAACGTGTCACAGCTATCATGTGTCACAGCTGTCATGTGTCACAGCTGTCATGTGTCACAGCTGTCATGCGTCGGACCACTTTAGCTCTACTTTCCCATCAATGTTAAAGTTTATGAGACCGTTAATCAATCAAATATTACCAGGTTATGCCATCTTCAAACGTTACCTTCAGCCCCAACAGCGCAGCTGACATAACTGTAGGAATAATCCTGACGCTATGTATTGCCATCGGTCTCCCAGCCAACATGGTTGCTTTCACCCACTTCGCCCAGAAAAAGTCCCATAACCCTAACTCCTCCTTCTTCACCCGGATGTATTGTGTAATCAGCTTTATTGACTGTCTTATCTGTGTTAAACACTTCCCTGTTATCCAGAGCATGTTTAACCAGCGCGGCTCCTCAGACCCACCCTCAAACCCACCCTCAGACCCACCCTCAATCCTCCTCTTCCACGACCACTACTTCTGCAGCATCTGGTTCATGGTCACAATGTGTACTATCATGGTATCTGTGTTTTGTATCCTGATGCTGTCCCTGTCGCGGTACATCTCATCAAGTACCCCCAGACCAAGCTGAGCCTGAAGTGGCTCTCACCCTGGGTGCTTCCCCTGCTCTGGGCCCTCATTATCATTGTTGTCATGTGCGGACTGGTGGCTGTAGACTTTGTTGCCATCTTCTATAACAAGAATAAAGGCGTGTGCGTGATGTATGGAAGTGTGCCGGAGTTTAATTTCACGAACATAACAAACGAAACTGTGCTCACAAAGAAGATGATGGGGAGAGATATGAACAAGAAGATAGCCTGGAGTTGTGCTTTGGCTGCTCCTATGCCGTTTATTATGATATGTGTTGTTCTATCACTCAGACATCTTAAAATGGTAAGAGTATATTAGTTAGTATTTACTTCCAACTTGTTACCAAAATCTTTCTCCTTTTAATGCCGATCTTGATCTTCCTCCTTTTCTATGAAAAACAGTGTTGTTCAACCTATGTCTCCTATTTTTTAGACTATGTAATATCTCTCTTTGACAGTTGGTATTTCAGGCTCGAGTGAGAGCGTTAAACACGCGCGGGGGACACAAGGCCCACTCAAACGCCTCCACCACCGTCATCATATTCACTCTCGTCTACGTTATCTGTAACTTCCCCATGTTGGGATACCTCGGCTACCTCAAATACCTCATCTCAAATACCATGAGTGACTGGGACGACTGGAACAAGAACAGTGAGGCTAAACCACCCTATGTTAACGAGTCAGCAGGAGAGGGCTACTACTACATGTTGTATTATGATCATCTCTACAACGATGTTTACTCCTCTTTTGAGCGATATTACGCGTGGATTGCAGTGTTTGACGTGCCAACAGCACTGAACAGTATGATCAACCCTATAATATACTACTGGCGAATGAAGCCTTTCCGGGACTACATCCACCACCGTATACAAGAGATGACGTCATCACATAACTCTGACCCCACGAAGAGTCGTAACAATGAAAGTGGTATGCCTAACAGAACTACAGCTACTCCTAAACTTTCAGTTAATACGACACGGAAGGGGGTTCAGAGTATCGGCACACCTAACAGTTGCAGAGGGATGGGGCCCGATACTGCGAACAGAGCGGCCAGGAAAAGGGACATTTCTTTAGAGAGATCGGATGATATTGTTGGAGATAGCTGTGGCAATGTTTGAAAAATGCTGTTTTTGCTGTGAATATGTTCTTATTGGCTAGTAAACCAATGTTAGATTGTGATTAATATTTGTGATTAAATGCAGTACAACGATAGGAAATCCTGCTAGAATGCCCCAAATTTTATGAACCAATATTTTTGATTTGCTGATTTGCTATTTAGTTTTTTCAATCTAAATTCTGCTTTTTTCTACCAGTATCATAAATTGATAAAAAGAGTAAAAACGGTGCAATGAATAAGAATTACTGACCTCTTGAATCCGGTCAACTTTTCCCTGCAGTCGACCTATAATAGTATCTGATCGTTTTCTGGTGCTGAGTTCCTCAATTTCTTGGTTCAGGGCATGTATCTCGTCCTGTAATTCTTTAGCCACCTGAATAGTTGTATTTCAGAGTATTCAGAATAACACTGCTTTTAAGAGAGAAAACTCTTGGACGTAATTGTGAGGTTTGATCACATTGGCACAGTGGTACTAAATAAACCCAGAAATAGATGTCCTAAATGTAATGGTAGCACCAGGTGTTGAGGTACGACCCAATAACTGAGCCGGAAATGTGAGGTGCTACAATATCTCAGTCATTAGTCAGTGGAACAGCTAGAACTACTATAACATAATACTCATTAGTAGAAGTTATAAAGTGCTATATTGTAGGAATCATATGAACTGTAAACTACTGTAACATGTGTTAGTCAGTACTTCAGTAGAGACTAAGCTTAAGAGGTGCTAAGTGACTGAAACTCTCGTTGCTAAGTGACTGAAACTCACGTTGGTATGAGATAGACGCCCCTTTTCATTAGCAGTCTGCAGCTGCTCAATCTCATGATCCTGGTGAGACGAGATAGCTAACATCTCGTTGTATTTGGTTTCCCACATTGCTTCCTATTATGTATAATTTGTGTTAGATTAAGTGAAATTTATTGATAATATAAAAGTCCGTAACTTGAGCGAATAGCCTTTTCTAGGCGGCCAAATATCCTGGTAGACTATCGATAATTTGGGCCCTAATTTTAAGTGAGTAAACAGCAAAGATAAACCATTCTAAATGCAAATGCAACACGCAGCCTAAATATAATCAGCAACTCATCCATCAAAACGAAACCCTTAATAGTAAAAGACACATCTAAAAAGTTAATTTTAAGGCGGCAGTAAATGCAGCAACTGAAGCTGAAAGACCACACTCGCAATATATAAAATGCTAAAGTTGGCAGGGTTGCAGTACTCAATGAGATTCCGTGTAAACTATTGAGAACCAGCTGTTTTAAATCGAGCGGACTGAGAAAATCACAGATTGAGTGAGAAGTTAAGAGTAAATTAAGAGTAGATTAAGAGTAAATTGAAAGAGTATTGGTGCGGAAATGCGACAGTTCGATTAGCAGATCGATGGAAATCGTTTAGAATTCAGATTCTCCAATCCACCATAATAGTAGCGGTTACGATTTTTCACTGATATCTGTTTTCACAAAAAATTAGATAACACACACATAGATGGGGAAATAAATGAAAAGTTATTTTCAGTGAATTGAACAGCCAACTTCAAATCTCACCCACAATACGCATACATACATACACGAAACAGCAACAAAAAACCACTGTACGAACAACACAATATGTCACGTGACACGTGACACGTACACACATACCTGTTCTTGACTGTCGGCCCACACTTCCCGTAACCGTACCACCTCTTCTGTCAGCTTGTCTTTAACCTTGAAATAGGACTTAGTTGAGAACAATACATATTGGTGCTGTTTTATTTGAGGTAGATTCGTAGAATTAAGTCGACATGTGTTATTGTGTTTGGGTGTGAGCCGATAAATTTAAGAAAGTGTGAAATAAGAGAAGGTAAAAACCTCATGCGAGTGTTTGATTTCATCCTCATATTTCCTGAGTTGAAGTGAAAATGAGTGTCTCTCTGATTCTATTGAGTCCCGTAATCCATCAAACTTTTCCTGAAATCAGATATGATTTTAATTCGACGACAAGGAAAGAAATTGTGTCCGGCCCTGATCTTAGTCTTGGCTCAAATCAAATCTTCAGAATTAACCATGTGCGAACGATTATACTCTTCATATCACGCGCGCAGCATAAATGCTTTCCCTGAATTTACGCAACTTTAATCATCAAAACTACCTTTGCGCGCTACACAATATTTCAGATTCTTGCGACCTTTGTCCCTTTTCGACCATAAAATTAGGGCTATCGAGGAACAGAAATAATTACAGAAGGCAAAATTATCACAATCCCCTTGGATCAACACAATCGAATTAAGCAACACTGAATATTTACCGATAACTCTTGAATAGCATCGTTTTTTGTCCGTTCTGACTTCTTGGCAGAGATGTCGAGGTCCCGGTAAATCTCTTCTAAATGTAGCACTCTGAACAGGTGTCGGAATAAACAAAGCTTATTGTCGGTGTTAAATATATATTACACAATTCATTTACAGAGTGGACGCGATGTGTAATATTGTTATTCAAGGGGCATTTCTTTTATTAGAACAAGGGCAAAAGTTGTGGTGTAAGTGGGGTCCGCGCCGGACTCTACGGCGTAAGACTCTACAGCGTGAGACTTAGGGTTAGGGTTAGGGTTAGGGTTAGGGTTAGGGTTAGGGTTAGGGTTAGGGTAAGGGTTAGGGTTAGGGTTAGGGTTAGGGTTAGGGTTAGGGTTAGGGTTAGGGTTAGGGTTAGGGTTAGGGTAAGGGTTAGGGTTAGGGTTAGGGTTAGGGTTAGGGTTAGGGTTAGGGTTAGGGTTAGGGTTAGGGTTAGGGTTAGGGTCTTACGCCGAATAGTCCCGGACCCGTTGTAAGTAGTAAAGTTGTAATGCAGTATTACACAGCTGGATAATGTATGGCTTGAGAAAGCTTTTAAGTCCGAACTTTGAACAGACTAGTAGAGTAGTAGTATTAAATCAGGAATAATCCACAATATTACTCGGATATTAAAGGAAATAAATCTAGTCCAGACCATGTGAATACTGTCACGAAAAGAAGAACAATCGGCAAATTCCAAGAAATCTAGCGCACGCTTACAGGCCTTATAAGGTATAATAGATCACTAGACAATATATTAAATCATTTAATTCACTTGTAAGATTTAAGAAAGTGATCTTTAAGACAGAACCCCATTAAAGTTTACACCATCACGTAGTCCTATAACAGTTCCCTGATAAAAGTATTACACCAGTAAATGAGAGAGAGGGAGAGACGCAGCACATGGTTTCATGACCTTCTCAACGGATATTATACGTCAACCTAATATTGGCACTTAAAAGGGCAGCTAAATATAATTGCATATATAATTATAATAGGACTAGGGGAGCAAAGAGCTCGATATTAAAGGGTATTTAAAGTGAGATAGAGAGCACAGAACAGGGTAGGGTAAGAGAGACGCTGTCAAGTTATCGTAGGGTGAATTGTCTGTACTGTCAAGTTTATTGGGCGGAACCGCAGCTTGGTTGCGTGAAAACCAAGGGTTATTGAACTATGGAGTCGTGGGTGTCTTTTAGTATGACGTTACAAAATTATTTTGGCTTTAAAAATATGGTGAGGTAGCCTCAAACAGAAGTGAACTAATGCCTATTCTCGTGCTGCCTTAGCTGCTTATCTCTGGTTATTATCATTTTGGCATTCTCCACATTCCACTTGCCACTTTACCACCTTCATCTTCACATGGTTTTCCGGCATCCTCTTCCTGGAGGGTGCCACACACCAGAGGCAGGCAGAACATTTTCATGATATCCTTTTGTGGGCCACATATGTCCGACAAATATTTTAAAACTTTTAAAAATAAAAATGTGAAAATGCAATAGACCTACCTGTAAGCTGCAGATTTAAATATCGGGCAGCAGCAAAACATTAGGACGAGCAAAACTGAATGAGGAAACGAGCGAAAATGTCTCCCGAATACTTGGGTTTCACGTGACTAATATACTGTTATCTTACTGGGTATTTGAACTTGTTTATAGCAATCAGCATCGGCAATTAGTGCAAATCACTTCGCCCCGGTGACAAAATACTAAATTATTCCTTTCTTAGGATTTCTTGGTGACGTTCTGTCTCATTCTAGTTTAATAGATCATAATTATCATCACCTCAACTTCCAGTTGTTCCTTGCTTAAACTAAGTAGCAGTATATTGTAAGAAATACAACTGCCGTGAGGGTAAATAATTTAGCGTCAAGTATTTACGATCATTAGGGCAACTAATCAAGATGCATAATCAATAATCATCATTAATTATGCTTATAAATCAGTATAGTTCATAATTACTCACAATTAGTATCCAAGATTTTGACAACCATAATATTATGTATGATGCCTGCCTTCAACGAGTATTAATTTAACGAGTATTAATTTGAGTATGTCCTGATCTTAAGCGATTATCGACCAATCATGCTTATACCCAGACTCTAGCTTCATTTATCTAAAGTGGTGTACATTTTACATATCTGCAGGAAATATGTTTTCACAGCAATCAAGGACAGTGTATCAAACTCATTGTTCCTCGTGCAGCATTCCATGCTGGGCAAAGATCTTTCAGTGTTATTGGATCAAGAATTAACAACACTCTGCCGGCAATAGTTAACATGTGTTTAGAATTGATTTAAAGACATACATAATATTCATTATGTATGTTAAAGACATACATAATATTCATAACATATAATGCTTTTGGACACGAAGGGAAACACACAACGTAAGGCTTGAAATCTTCGTAAAACTACATCATTAGAGCCTCAAATTATTTGTTATATACTATATAGTGGTGTTGAAAGTATTAAAATATTCATAACATGATTTGTTGAAGCTCTACAGCTAGCATGGTGACATTCGTGTGGTGAGTATTATTAATAAAATATAGCACTACTAGTACAGCTAGTAGAAGTCGTAGTAGTAGCATTTTTAATCATTTATTATGATTTTCTTAATATGTAAGATACTGAAAGTTCACTTACTTTTCATGAATTTCTAGTTTTTCATTCCTCAATTTCTCAATCAAATTCTTCTTATCTCCAAGATCAGTTTCCAACCTGACTACCTGAACAAACACCGAGGTATAAAATATACCACAATTTCAGCTCTGTGATTAACGTAGCACAAATATTTTGGCAACATTCCCAAATGCCCAAGTATGACATTCTTCATTACCCTGATAACGCCAAATCCGAAATTGGCTGACGTATCCTATCGACAGGTTTAAAATCAGCCATCCTCCAATAATTATACAGAATTGAATGCTTCTAAATAAACCCAGATATAAAAGGAGAAAACCAATATAGCCCAAATATCCAGTAGCCCAGTATATCGAAACCCAAATTATGTATTAAAAGACGGGTCACCAAAACACGGAAATGTGCAGTATTGAATACCGGACCCGCAATAATTGTAGTAGTGATATTATTTATTTTGGTAGAGGAATGAATACACAGGTATGACAGACTGTCACGTAGCAAAGTAAGATTACCTTTTTAGAGAGATCCTCTATATCCTGCCTGAGATCTTCCTCAACAGTGGGGTCTGGATTGCTTACAATAACTGGTGCTGAGCTCCTTTTCAGTCTGAAATCACAATAATTAATTAACTACACAGTTCAGGATCACATGGAGCTGACTACATTAATGTATCGAGCATTAATGTATAATGAATATTGTATAATATGCTTTATGATTGATCTTGAAAGTGATAGTATTACAAAATTCATTATAGGTAAGCTGTACTTGTACTGTAAGCTGGTCCCAAGTTCGGATGCTATCATTGAGTTCTTTTTATTTCAATAACTCTACTTAGTTATCGACTATAACTACTGATTAATGTTTGTAGTCTCTGTACTTAAGTTATAACTTCATCAGCTGGTATGACCGACAAATTAAACTAATAAGGAATTAGCCCTTTAAGTTTTAACGTGGAAAAGTCAGTTTGTTATCAACAACCAAGAGCGCAACTTGGGAGTTAGGGCGCTAAGGGTTAGGTGACTGACATTTCCAAACTAGCAACTATTTCTCGAGTGTTGCACAACCATATTTGAAGCTGGCAGCAGCAAATAATGCCCAGTATATGGAGTGAACTGCTGGACAGTTGTAGCTGTCCAGTAGCTAAATTGTGTCGAATATGGAGACAGGAGACATGATGCGGGGGAGCTCAGTCATTTGACACACTATTTAAACTTCTGATTGGAGATCTCAGCTCTTTACACTGACAAGCCCTGGGAGATTGTACAGCACAGTGTGCAGCACAGTGTGCAGCACAGTGTGCAGTACAGTGTGCAGCACAGTGTGCAGCACAGTGTGCAGTACAGTGTGCAGCACAGTGTGCAGCACAGTGTACAGCACAGTGTGCAGCACAGTGTGCAGTACAGTGTACAGCACAGTGTGCAGTACAGTGTGCAGCACAATGTACAGCACAGTGTGCAGCACAGTGTGCAGTACAGTGTGCAGCACAGTGTGCAGTACAGTGTGCAGCACAGTGTACAGCACAGTATACAGCACAGTGTACAGCACAGTGTACAGCACAGTGTACAGCACAGTGTGCAGCACAGTGTGCAGTACAGTGTACAGCACAGTGTGCAGTACAGTGTGCAGTACAGTGTACAGCACAGTGTGCAGCACAGTGCAGTGTACAGCACAGTGTACAGCACAGTGTACAGCACAGTGTGCAGCACAGTGTGCAGTACAGTGTACAGCACAGTGTACAGCACAGTATACAGCACAGTGTACAGCACAGTGTACAGCACAGTGTACAGCACAGTGTGCAGCACAGTGTGCAGTACAGTGTACAGCACAGTGTGCAGTACAGTGTGCAGTACAGTGTGCAGCACAGTGTGAAGCACAGTGTACAGCACAGTGTGCAGCACAGTGTGCAGTACAGTGTACAGCACAGTGTGCAGTACAGTGTGCAGCACAATGTACAGCACAGTGTGCAGCACAGTGTGCAGCACAGTGTGCAGTACAGTGTACAGCACAGTGTGCAGTACAGTGTGCAGCACAGTGTACAGCACAGTATACAGCACAGTGTACAGCACAGTGTACAGCACAGTGTACAACACAGTGTGCAGCACAGTGTGCAGTACAGTGTACAGCACAGTGTGCAGTACAGTGTGCAGTACAGTGTACAGCACAGTGTGCAGCACAGTGCAGTGTACAGTACAGTATGCAGCACAGTCTGCAGCACAGTCTGCAGTACAGTGCACAGCACAGTGTGCAGCACAGTGCACAGCACAGTGTGCAGCACAGTGTACAGCACAGTGTGCAGCACAGTGTGCAGCACAGTGTGCAGCACAGTGTGCAGCACAGTATGCAGCACAGTGTACAGTATAGTGCACAGCACAGTGTGCAGCACAGTGTGCAGTACAGTGTCAAACAGCACAGTGTACGGTAGCAGTGTGCAACACAGTGTACAGTACAGTGTGCAACAGTGTACAGCACAGTGTACAGCACAGTGTGCAGCACAGTGTGCAGCACAGTGTGTAGCACAGTGTGTAGCACAGTGTGCAGCACAGTGTACAACACAGTGTGTAGCACAGTGTGCAGCACAGTGTGCAGCACAGTGTGCAGCACAGTGTACAGCACACTGTGTAGCACAGTGCAGTGTACAGTACAGTGTGCAGCAGTGTATAGCACAGTCTGCAGTACAGTGCACAGGACAGTGTGCAGCACAGTGTACGTACAGCACAGTGTACGGTAGCAGTGTGCAACACAGTGTACAGTACAGTGTGCAGCAGTGTACAGTACAGTGTGCAGCAGTGTACAGCACAGTGTGCAGCACAGTGTACGTACAGCACAGTGTACGGTAGCAGTGTGCAACACAGTGTACAGTACAGTGTGCAGCAGTGTACAGTACAGTGTGCAGCAGTGTACAGCACAGTGTGCAGCACAGTGTACAGCACAGTGTATAGCACAGTCTGCAGTACAGTGCACAGCACAGTGTACAGCACAGTGTGTAGCACAGTGTACAGTACAGTGTGCAGCACAGTGTGCAGTACAGTGTACGTACAGCACAGTGTACGGTAGCAGTGTGCAACACAGTGTACAGTACAGTGTGCAGCAGTGTGCAGTACAGTGTGCAGCAGTGTGCAGTGAACACTTCTGCAAGTTCAGTTCAGTTAAATTAAGCTGTGTTTCAACTGTACATTATGTATTATAATGTGTATTTCAGCACTGATTATTGGCCTATACTAGACAAACTGTTATAACGTTTAAATAGCAGTCAGTAATAAATTGATAAAAATACAAAACCGAAATTGATAAAAAGTCAAAACCGCTTATATTTAAACTCTGTCAGGGTTAATAACAACAATACCTTATAAGGCAGGATGACACAAACACACCGTTTTGTCGCTCAATCTCCATTACATACAGCGATTTCAAAACAAGTAATTTACAAGTAACACGAGAATTGTGTACATAGTATCATGGGAACAAAGACCAGTTCCTCATTTCAAATGAGTGCAGTACTGGCGCACTGGAGTATTGGAATATTGGGGGACACTCTGGAGCTGAAAGGGCAAGTTTCCATAAACGATATTTTATGATCGGCGACGATAATCGCTTATTGAGCGCTTTTTCGGCGCTTTTTTGGAAAAAAACCGTTTACAATCGCTTTTTTTACGATTATAAACGGTTCAAAAAAAATCGCTTATAATCGACTATAATTGGTGTCATAATTCAAAAAAGCGCTTTTTCGAATTTAAAAGCGCTTATAAGCGCTTTTAAGCGCTTACTAGCGTCGCTGAGCGATTTGAAAGCGGTTTTCCAGTAGGATTGGCGCCAAAAACGGGTGGATAAGCGGTTGGCCGGATAAGCGATTCGTGGGCGCTTTTTTGAACCATTTATAAGCGATTATAAGCGCTTATAATTGGGGTGCAATTTAGCTGTTTGTAAAGCGCAAATAAAGCGCTTATAAGCGCTTTTAAAATTGAGTCAGGAAAACGCTATATTACATCTTATAACCGCTTATAATCGATTATAAGCGTTTTTTTAGAAATCGCTTATTACGGCTAATTCATCGCTATTTCACCGCTTTTACCGCTTTTCCTATCATCCATGGCCAGGTGAGCAGGAATTAAAAAGCGCTTATAAGCGCTTTTTCGATGCTGCCCCTAGCCTGGTCGGAACGGGGTAGTGCCCGGAATTTAAAAGCGCTTATAAGCGATTTCTCAATTCCCCTTAACCTGGTCGGAACTTGCATGTGCTTTTCTGAGCAACCTGGGGTGCACCGGCAGAGTCAGGATTTAAAAGCGCTTATAGGCGCTTATGATCGCTTTTCTACCACTTTTCCTATCACCCATGGCATGGGTTGGCAAGAATTATAAAGCGCTTATAATCGTTTTTCAATGCTGCCCCTTAGCTGGTCGGAACGGGGGAGTGCCCGGAATTTAAAAGCGCTTATAAGCGATTTCTCAATTCCCCTTAACCTGGTCGGAACTGGAGAGTGCCCACTTGCATGTGCTTTTCTGAGCAACCTGGGGTGCACCGGCAGAGTCAGGATTTAAAAGCGCTTATGATCGCTTTTCTACCGCTTTTCCTATCACCCATGGCCTGGTTGGCAAGAATTAGAAAGCGCTTATAAGCGCTTTTTCAATGCTGCCACTAACCTGGTCGGAACGGGGGAGTGCCCGGAATTAAAAAGCGCTCATTAGCGCTTTTTTAATTAATGCTGCGCTTATAAGCGATTTCTCAATTCCCCTTAACCTGGTCAGAACTGGAAATCAGTGTGCCCGCTTATAGTTATAAGTGCTTTTCTGTGCAACCTGGGGTCACCGGCAGAATCAGGATTTAAAAGCGCTTATAGGCGCTTATGATCGCTTTTCTACCGCTTCTACTAAATCGCTCGCCCAAATTTTAAGGAAATTCTTGTGAAAAGGCCCTTTGGGGCATGAAAGTGATACTGATATATATCGGTGTATTTTTGGACGCTGATTCCGAATCACCCCCCATGACGTAGGGTTATAATGCTTCCCTGGAGAGTTCTGGGCAAAAAACCGTTTTGGTCACGTGACAGGCTAGTAAAATACGAATTCGATTGTTTAGGGCCCGGGTTCGATCATGAATTGTGTTAACATTAGACAAAGCTCTAAGCAACTAAGAAGTAAAACAAATTTTGCTCATTACTGCAACCAACAAAAAATTATTTGTCATTGCTGTTTAATACAGGCTCGATTTTAGAACACTGTTTCAAGAGTAACAAATTATTCATTGTGGAAAATTCTAAGTTGCACAAATACGGCGCGCGCTAACATTGACTCTTAAAATAATCGGATTGCTTTAATGTTTAAGTACTACTTCTTGTACTTGATTAGGTCTCCTCAATCATTCGAGTGGCCTGCACCAATGAACTCCCGTTTGTGACGTATCATCTCCCTCCAGAGATCGCTTTTCTACCGCTTCTACTAAATCGCTCGCCCAAATTTTAAGGAAATTCTTGTGAAAAGGCCCTTTGGGGCATGAAAGTGATACTGATATATATCGGTGTATTTTTGGACGCTGATTCCGAATCACCCCCCATGACGTAGGGTTATAATGCTTCCCTGGAGAGTTCTGGGCAAAAAACCGTTTTGGTCACG